GCTGATGGGGCGGGGCCTGGCGAATGGGGCGGGGCCTTAGCGGAGAATCAGGCTAAAGGGGGCAAACGGCGGGGAGAGAGTGGGGCGGGGCTAAAATGTGGGGCGGGGCTAAAATGCAGCGGCCAAATCGAGGTTCCTCCTGTGGCCAACACAGAAAAGACTAGGGAGAGCAAGCACTGGTCAGAGACCAGAACCAATAAAGGTTGGGTCAAAGTGTGGATAGGGCCGAGAAGGGTGACAAGCGTCCTGTTAAAGGAGCAAAGCAGAGGACTGAGAGGAAATCGGTTCCTGTAGTTGGAGGCCCCAAACAGGTGTAGCCAGGACGCATCCTGGGTGGGCGTGGCTAACTCTCGGCCCATCCCCTTCTCTATTCCCCACCCCTACCCCCACCGTAGGCATAGTGTTTTCTAACGGACCTCGCTGGCTGAAGCTGCGCAATTTTGCCCTTGGGGCCCTGAAAGCGTTCGGGCTGGGAACCCGGACCATGGAGGATCGGGTCCTGGAGGAAGCGGCTTGTCTGCTTGGCGAATTCCAAGCCACCGCGGGTGCGGCGATCAGGAAAGCAGAAGGGCTTGGTGTGGTTGTGGCCAATAGGCTGGTACAAAGGGGGTCATAGGAAGGCGTTCTGGTGAAACAAAGCCAGGAAGCCCAAGGAGCTAGCTGGGGGCCAGGCTGCAGCGTACGATCCCGGGTCTGTTCCCACCCTAGGAGCCCTGTTCGACCCCCGGAGGCTACTGGATAATGCTGTGTCAAATGTTATCTGTTCTGTGGTCTTTGGGAAGCGCTATGGCTACGGGGACCCAGAATTCCTGAGGCTCCTGGACCTTTTCAATGACAACTTCCGCATCATGAGTTCCAGATGGGGCGAGGTGAGATGGCTGGTCCCTATCTCTCCCTCATTGTGCCCAACCCCGAGAACATACCCTACAAATAGGTCATCAGAATGGGACAACTTCAGATTCTTGAACAGTTCCGGAACCTCCAACATTAAAGTCCTGGGCCCGTCTCCCCATAAGGGAACGTAAGGTCTGGTGGCCTTGTCCAAGGTCCTATCAGATCCTGTCTCCCCAGATGTACAATATTTTCCCCTCCCTCCTGGACTGGCTACCCGGCCCGCACCACCGTATTTTCCGAAACTTCGCGGAGCTGCGGGTCTTCATTTCTGAGCAAATCCAGCGGCACCGGCAGACGCGGCAGCCTGGGGAGCCTCGCGATTTCATCGATTGCTTCTTAGACCAAATGGATAAGGTGCAGATCCTTACCATCCTAAACCCTATCTTTGCCGCCCACCGTCAAGGTGCCTGGCACGCTGCGGCGCCTGTCTCTTCTGCCCGCAGGAACAGCAGGACCCGAAGAGTCATTTCCAGGATGAGACGTTGGTAATGACGACGCACAACCTTTTCTTCGGTGGCACTGAAACCACGAGTACCACCCTGCGCTACGGGCTCCTCATTCTGCTTAAGTACCCAGAGGTGGCAGGTCTGAGAGGACTCAGGAGGAGGGCCTGGGGTCGGGCATGAGCAGTCAGGAATGCGTGGCTCACAGCCCCCACCTCCCCAGCCAAGGTGCAGGCAGAGCTGGACGCAGTGGTAGGTCGGACGCGCGCCCCACGCCTGGAAGACCGCGCGCGCCTGCCCTACACCAACGCCATGCTGCACGAGATCCAGCGCTTCATCAGCGTGCTGCCGCTGGGGCTGCCGCGCGCCCTCACCCGCGACACCCACCTCTGCGGCCACTCTCTCCCCAAGGTGCTCACCGAACCGGGAGAGTCTGCGGAGCCTAGGGGCGTGAGCACCTATTCGCTGAAATCGGCCAGAATGGGCGGGCGCAGCGTTGAACGACGCAACCAGTAGCCCCGAGAGCAGGCAGTCATACCCACCCTCCCCCCACCCCTTCGGGAAAAAAACGGCCACCATTGGTCTACGGGCGACCACAAGCAAATCCGGGGCTAACCCAAGCTGTGCGTACCCACAGGGCACTTTCGTGATTCCTCTGCTTATGTCTGCACACCGAGACCCCACCCAGTTCAAGGACCCGGACTGCTTCAACCCCGCGAACTTCCTGGACGACAAGGGCGAGTTCCAGAGCAACGATGCCTTCATGCCCTTTGGCCCAGGTCCGGGCGGGGAGGGAGGGCCCGGCCGGGATCAGCCCTGGGACGCACCGGGTGCTCACTGTGCACGCGACCCCCTGCCCCAGGAAAGCGGATGTGCCTGGGTGCGGGCCTGGCCCGCTCCGAGATCTTCCTGTTCCTCACGGCCGTCCTGCAGAGGTTCTGCCTGCTCCCCGAGGGGAATCCTGCTCGCATCGACCTCACCCCGCACTGCACTGGCCTGGGCAACGTCCCCCCAGCCTTCCAGCTCCGCCTGGTGGCCCGCTAAGGTTCGGCGCTGGCTCCGCTGGCTCGGGGAGCTCACAGGCCCTCACTGCCTCACCCTCTTGAGAGCAATAAAGGTCCTGAATTGCAGGTGGGGGTCTCGCTGGCGGGAGGGAGTCATCCTGTGCGGCTCTGAGGTAAACTTTATTTCTTGGCTGACAGGCCTGCAACATCCATGCTCCCCCCGGCACCTTCATCTTGCCCACACAGCGGCAGCCCAGTCCAACAGGTGCCGTGGCCCAAGGGGTTGGGGAGTCACTTCACATTCCAAGCTGGAACAGGGGGTGCGGGGCTTGGAGACACACCCCCACCCACCTTTGCCAGCAAGAGGCCATGACTCACCCCAACCCCAACTCCTGCAACCTGGTGGGAGGTGGCAGTGCCCCCCCCCCAGCCCTCCACACCTAACGGGGGCATGACCAGACAGGGCAGGACACAGGCCCAGCTTCCGTAATGACGGCCCCCAAGGCTGGCCTCTGCTCAGGTCAGAACCCTCGCCCCATCACAGGGCAGCAGAGATCGCTCATCCTCCTCAGCACTCAGCAACGGAAGGACAGAGCACTCCACACCAGGCAGGGCAGACGCAAAGTCAGCAGCAGCAGCGGCGATGGCAACAGGGAGGGAGAAGGCCCCAAGGCTGGAAGGCTGCCCGCAGGGCCCCTGGGCACTCCTGAAGTCAGGGCACGCTGTCTGTCCATGCAGCTCCACGGCTGGCCACTAGGTGGGCGTAGTCGGCTGGGACACGGGTACTTGGACACCTTTTTGTCCTGATGCTGGAGATGAGAGAGGAGACAGTCATCAGGGGAGAGACAGAGACCAGGGAAACAGGATGGGAGGGGATCAGGAAAAGATGGGGCTGTCCAGGGAGGAAGGGCAGAGGAAAAACAAGTGGAGGGACCCAAGAGACTGGGGTAGGTGGGGAGGAAGTAAATGGAATAGGAAGAGGTGCTAGATACCTAGCTGATACTTGTCTTTGGCTGCTGCCCGCTCCTTGGCATCAAAATACCAGACAGTGATGGCGTACCTGGGGAGCAGGGTGGTCGGAGATCAGTGTCCTGCCGTTCCGGTCACCATATCCATAGTGACACCATAATCCATCCTTCTGACCTGCTTGGTTCTATTCCCACCTGGGACCCCTTTTAGCACTTCACTCCCTAGTCCCTCGGGACTTTGAAAAGGCTTTGTTGGCACCTGGGCACATTCCCAGAAGTAGGGGGTCCTACCTGGTGGCATAGGCTGGTTTCACCTCGTGGGGGTTCCGCCGGTCAGACCAGAAAATGAGCAACCGGTCAAAGAGTGGCTCGATGTTGGCTACCACCGGCCGGCCCTCAGGGAAGATCTGCAGCAGGCCGCCATGCACCTGGGGGCAGGCCAGAGGATGAGGCTGCCTGGTCCCGTCTGGAGCCTCTGCCTTGCACCGCGCCCAGGAGCCCACCAGGGGGCGCAGCGGCAGGACACATCGTTCCCGCCCACCACTCAGGCTCTTAAAATGAATGACAGCCCAGAGTCTGCATCACCATGGAGATGGGCAGGAAGCTACTAAAGACAGGAAAACGGGAGGGTGAGGGGACTGTTCATTACAAGGCCGGGTGGAGCCAGGCAGACAGCACCATTCCGGAAACGGGGGAGTTCCCACCACACTCAGCTGGAGGAGGAGGTGCCAACAGTCCAGGCAGAGCAGCAGATTGCACTGCCCCCCTGTGGACTAAGAATCTGAGCTGGCAGCAAAAATGGGGTGGATGCACACCACCCACCCACACCCGCACCCCCACACCCTACCTTAACGTCCCAGTTCTGATTCAGGTAATAGATACAGGTGATGCAGCGCCCATCGCCGTGGGGATTGTCAACGTGCCTCACGTACCCCAGCCCGTTGCCTGGGTAACACGCCACCATGGCCTGGCAGAGATGGAGGGAGTTGGGTTTACTGGGGCTTTGCAGGGGCATTTGGGAGAAGAAGCCATTACCTTTTTAAAAATTATTTTATTTAACTTTATTTTAATTTGACCAGAGAGAGACAGAGAGAGAGAGCCAGCCAGCCACCAGGTCCAGGACTCAAACCATGGTCGGCCATGTGAGAGTCCAGTGCCCTTAACCACCACCGCCACCTGCTGGCCCCCCATTACCTCTTTTCTCACCCCTCTCTGCTGCTTGTCTTTCCCTTGACTCCTTGAAAACCCTGGGCTCCAAAGGGCTCCAGTCTTAAGATTTCTTCCTTTATCAGCCAAGGCCCCACTTCTAAGCTCATCAGAAACCTCAGCTCCTGGGACTAGCAGACAGTGTAACGGTTACATTGCGGCACTCTCACATAGTTGATCATGGTTTGAGTCCCGGACCCCAGCAGCTTAAAACTCACACCAGATGTGTGTGCCCAAAATCTCAAGAAAATGGAGAAGGGATTGCAGCCCTCCCTGTTGTGGGGGTAATTTCTCACTTTCTGTCTCTCTGGCGAGCACACGTGCCCTATAGCAAAAATCTCCATTTAAAAAAAAAAAAAGACACCTCAGCTTCTGTACCTCAAGAGCCCACCCCTCCCCCCACAACACATAGCCAAGGCAGAGCACCCCAATGAGATTCAATGAGTAACGGAGGATTTCATTTTGTACACAGTTTTGAGACACTGATGCCCAGGCCCACCGCAGAGGTGTGGATGTACTCGGTCTAAGCTAGAACCTGGAATTTTAAAGGTTCCCCAGGTCATTTTAACATGCAACAACTTTGAGCCGCTGCCCTTGATTACAAAGGTTCCCCATTAAGTACATTACCTGTTCTATGCACATTTGATCAGGAACCAAAACCTAGAGTCTAAATAGAAAGTGAGGTCTAATTCCAACTCCAAAGATAACTTGCTGAGTAACCCTGGACAGCCTCACCTGAAGGGGCCTCAACTGCCTCACCTGTAAAATGGGGCCAATAATCACCTTGGTTTACAGCAGTTAACGGTTAACCCCCCTGAGAACATACCTATGGAGGTTCCAGACCCCAACACACAGTCAAGACTCATTCCAGATCCTGGCTTCTGTGTGTACACATCTGGCTACAGGGTTACTGTTTCAGTCTCTTCCCCTGGTGGCTGCCACCCTCCTAGCCCAGCCCTGACATGCTTGGCCAGGCCCCTGGGATGTATGTCATCAGGGAGCTGACAGAAAGGTGGCTGTGATGCAAAGGAAAAGGCCCAGCCACTTCTGCAGACCCAGTTCCCTGGCTCGAGTCTCAGTGAAACCACAGGAGCTGTGACATCAGCAGGTGACTTAACTTCCCTGTCTCAAGTTCCTCATCCATGAAATGCAGCTGACAAAAGGAGGTCAGTCTGGGAAGACATCCAGCACAGGGCCTGAACATGACGGAGAACCCAGGCACAGGCTAAAATGCCATTTAAAAATTAAACAGGAACCTGTCCCAAAACCCACTGGGAGGGATACATGAGGTAGCAGGCAAACAGGGGAGGACTTGCATCAAGACTGCAGCTTCTCAGAACCAACAGCTGGCATAATGGCTATGTCACTGGACTCCCAGGTAGTTGACTGTGATTTGAGTCCCAGACCCGGTGGCTTAAACTCACACCAGGCGCATATGCGTGCATGCCCAAGGTCCCGAGAGGAGAATGGAGAAGAGGTTGCAGTGTGGCCATCCCCCCTGGGGGGATGATTTCTCACTTTCTGTCTCTCTTTCTCTGTCTTTCCGATGAGCACATGTGCCCTATAGCAAAAACCTTTAAAAAAAAAAAAAAGATTGCAGCTTCTCCTTAACTAGGGACCACCTGTCTTGACCGCTTCACCCATTGACAACTCTGCTGACTGCTGCTCCCCGTGAATGCTCAGCTACACCTGTAAGCCTGAGTGTATACTCCTATACATCCATAGGTCTGGGCTGTCTCAATAGGCCACTGAGACAGCCCCAAGCCAAACATTCATGATCAAACAGATCAGTGTCTGCTGCCAGAACTGGAGGCTTGGCAAGCACGCACAGCAGGCTGGGCTGATCTGATGATTCCCCCATCCTCTTCCCATTACATTATTCCCAGAGCTCACCAACTGTGGATGTTAAAACTGCTCAGTATTAAACAGGTGCGCCTGATCCACTACAGAACCTGCCATTAGAGGGCCACCCAGTGGCATGGTGGTTAAAGTGGCTAGATCCACATAACCAACTACACAGTTTGAGTCCAAGACCTGGCAGCTTGAGGAACATGCCAGATGCGTGTGTGGGCCCCAAATCCCAAGAGGATAATAGAAGAGATGGCAGTGTGACCATTGGGGGAGGGACCTCACTCTCCATCTCCCTCCAGCACAAAGAAACAAAAACCCTGTCCTGGGAAAGAGAAGCAAGGAGGGCACCATCATCTGAGCCATCCAGGAGTGACATGCCAACCTTCTCTGGCAGTACCAGGGTTCAGTTAGAGTAATCCCCAAGGAGAACACCAGCCCCTCCACCCTCCACCCTCCACCCTGAGGTTCAAGAGGGAGAATCTCTGGCAGTACCAGGGTTCAGTTAGAGTAATCCCCAAGGAGAACACCAGCCCCTCCACCCTCCACCCTGAGGTTCAGGAGGGAGAATCCTCTTTGAGGGGCTCACTCCCTGTAGATGGCTCCACCTCTGAACCACCACCTCACTGGGAGGAACGAACGTGGTCTGGGTCTTGAAGTCAGGGAGGTCAGAGGCCTTCCCAGTTAAAGAAACTCAGGTAGAGATCATGCTGGTTCTGCAGGACAAGGGGGTGGGAGAAGGAAGGAGTCCAGCCCTGCACCCACTTCCCCACAATCCATCCTGCACAGCAGCCAGAGACCCTTTCTCCAGCTCTCAGTGCAACCCCAGAAAACACAAATCCCCAAGCAGCTCCCAAAGGCCACCAACCTCATGTGCTATGCCCATCACTCTGCTGCAAGCCTTAATAGGCCTAGTTCATCCCTACCTCCAGGTCCCGACACCTTCCTGGACACTCTTCCCACTGGTCTACCTTGTTATTCAAGACTTGGGCCAAAGATTCCCTTGGGTACTCTAGCGGAACCTCCCCCCACTCCTCTCAATGTGGAAGCAGTACAGGCACTTGTTTACCTGCCACTGATCTGAAAACAGCTCATGGAAGTCCCTGGGGCCAGGTCTCCCCAGTGCCACACTTGCCGACAGACAGTACTCTTCTGAGACCGCCTCCATCTTGCCCTGCGCGCTCTCGCACAGGGTCCCAGCACACAGGCAGAATTGAGGAATGCAGGCTGAGCAGAGATGGACAGCTGCCCTCTAAGGCCCTTCCCTTCATCCACACATGCCTTGGGAGCGTGAGGCAGAGGCATCCTCTAGCCTCAGGCAAAGCGAAAGCTCCTTACCCCCAGAAGGGAAAACCTCGGCCCTTAGGAAGGGTGACAAGAAAACTTTCACTCCCTCCTAGCTTAAGGAAGGGGCAGGTAGGCCTGGAGCCAGTAGAATGAGGAGTCAAGCTACAGTGACAACACGTGAACAGCCCCTCACCACTACTACTGTACATAAACACACCCGTCAGAGGTTAGCCAGTGGCAGGGCCGAGTCAACACTCTCCCACCTGCAGGTCAACTAAGCAGAGGACAGTAGGACACAGGAGTCCCACTCGGGAAGGACTGAGCAGCAAATTACTCCTGCTCTTCACCACCCGTGATCCAAACTCCCACAACTGCTGCCACCCAACTCAGCACCCCATGGCCTTACACCAGCACCTGGATGGGGCCCCTAGAAGGCAGGGAACCCTGGACCTGCTGTCTCACTGGGGAGGGGCGGGGCTGAGAAAAAACTCCAGTGACTGGGCTCCTTCCCTCCCTCTGGGTCCAGCCTGGCCACTGCTTACCTCCCCAGGCAACAGGGTCACTCAGAGCTAAAAGAATCCCAACAACTCCCTCCTCCCCAGGCCTAGTCAGGGCCCTGTCCCAACTACACCCAAGATGGGAGTCAGAAACACCAAAGAGGAAAAGATCTACCTGTTCTATCCTGCCCACCCCAGACACAGCCAGACTAGCAGAGGACTTGGCCTCTGTGGACGAGCAACTGAGGCTCAGAGCAGTGTCCCGCCTCAGGCGGTCAGTTCTCCTGGCCTTCCCCTAGACTCCCTCCTGCAAGGACAGCAGGACCCCAGGGTAAAGATGCTGAGCCAAGGAGGCCACACTGATCTCGCCCGCATAGAAGCAAAACCCAGGGAGGGGCCGGCTCCAGCTATCAAGTAAAGGGAGGGAGAGGGAAGCAGGACAAGTTCCAGCTGGGGAGGGGAGGAAACAGGCCCAGCCTCAGGGGAGCCCTGGTCCCTTAGCAGGCTCTAGCCTGGGAGGAAGGCAGCAAAGTGCAGCTCAAGATGGGCTCACAGAGAGGAGGGAGAAGACATCAGAGGCATGGTCTCACTCCCACGGGGCAGAACACAACTGTACCAGGCATCACTGGTGCTGAGCACTGGCACTCCCCACAGCGCCTTGTCCAAACGACACCAGCCTTGGACTCAAGGCCAGGGCCTTCACACTCTCCCATGAGGACGACTACCATGTCAGCAGACCAGAAAGGCCCTCAGGACCATTGTACTGTGCAAGGCTCCTGACCCCAGGCTCTTGAATAGGCAGCCCGAGGCCCATGAGGCTGACAATTGCCTGTAAACTCTAAACAAATAAACATTTTCCTAAAGAGAGGGTCTGTGGCTTCTGGTAGATTCCTAAAAGGACTCAGATTCCAAAAAAAGATTAAGGCAGAGTGCCAACAGAGGCCAGAGATAGAGATGAGGTGACAAAGACAGAAGGCACAGCAGGGACTAAGACAGGAAGACGTAGGAAAGAGGACAGGGGCACCACCTGGGCCAGCACGCAGTCAGCCATGCCGCCCCCCTGAGGCTGTCAACACCCATGCCACAGCAGACACAGGGCGCAGTGCAGTGCTGGGCCAGGAGCTCAGCACAGAGGGCAGCTTCCTTGGGTCACTGCCACCCTCCCCTTCCTTATTCAGGTTCTCCTGCCTGGGAAGGAGGAAGGAGAGTCAGATGGGGGACAGGATGGGCAAGACAGACAGGCTAGCAGACGGATGGACAGAAGGGCAGAACAGGGATTGAGGCAGAAATACGTGCCTGCTCTCACTGTTCTGGGTCCAGGGCCCATAACCAGACACCAAGGGGTTGTGATACCCCACCCCAGCAGCCCCCACACACATGTGACACTATGAATGACAGCAGCTCTCACTAGGTTTTTCAGGTTTTCTGGCAAGGTTAAGGTTAAGAACCACTGGGGCTCCAGGCCAAACCCCTGGTTTACAGGTGCACAAAGGCCCACACGGAGGACATTAACCCCTACAGTATACAGTGAGTGTGCCTCTCCACTGGGGCTGCCTAAACCATTTTGTGGCCCCAGGAGCCTGTCTCCAAGCACACTCAAGTCAGAGCCCTCAATATCCACAAGCAGAATGCTGCAAATCCCGCCCACAGAGGGGCCTGCAAGCCTTACCTTGGTGCGCCCGTTGATGACATAGCTGCCCAGCCGCCCAGCACAGTGGCGGATGACAGCGTCCACGTGGCCCATGAGCGTGCCAATGCTGCGGCAGCCTGGCTCGTGGCCTTCCACCCAGGCAATCTGGTCCCCACGGATGCTGCGCGGTGGGATAGCTCGCTGGCTCACTAGCTGCCCGTCACGCAGGCGCCCTCCCCTCTTCAGGGCCTCCACCTCAGCCAGCACGCGGCCACCCAGGGCTGCCCCCAGGAAGCTGTCCTTGACGCAGATGCCATAGTACCGCATGCAGGGCACAATATAGTCCAGGGCCAAGCGCTCAGGTGCAGAGGGCTGCACCTCCTCCCTCAGCCCAGCGCTGGCCTCGCCGTGGCCACTGCCGCAGCCCATGCCACCCTCCCTCTCTGCCTCCTGGTTCTCTTGCCTGGCCCAGGGCCGCTTGCCTGGAGAAGGGGCATCCCCACCATCCTCGGCCCATTTGCGTTTTGGAGCCTGAGGCCGGGCGCCCTGGGCTGCCAGTCGCTGGCACCCCTTGGTGACCAGCGCTGCGGCACCTTCACTCTGTAGTGGCCGCAGCTCACCACCATCCTGCCCACCAAAGCCCTCCCGCAAGGGACTGGCAGTGGTAGAGGTGGCTGTGGTTCCAGGAGTCCCACTGCCTGCTGAGGCCTCCCCAGGTACTCCCGGATGGTGGTAGGAAGGGAGCAGGGAACAGGGCAGGTAACTCTCCACCCCCATCCTGGCCCCGCCAGGCTCCAAGGCCTCTGACACAGACCCCGGCAACTGAGGGACAGCCTGACTCAGGGGCTGCGGCTGGCACGGGCTGTCCATGGCAGCAGTGTCTTCATCCCCCGGGCATGGAGGGCACGGCCCGGGCCCATGGTGCCACCCTCCTCTGCCTACTCCTCCTCCACTTGATGCAGCCGGGGGCCGCTGGGCCTGATGTGGAACAGGATGAGGCAGGGCAGGCAGCAGGGGCTCTTCTCACAGCCTGGGAGTACTCGCTGGTTCCCAAGTCCTCTACCGTCCCTAAGGGCTTGGGAAGGGACCTTTCAGGGTGCTGGAAGGAGAGAGAAAAAGAAACGTGAGAAGAATAGACGCAGGTGGGTTAGGGGAGGGTTGGGAGGTGATATGGGGAGTAGGAAGACAACCAGGACAGACTTGGCTGTAAAGACCCCTAGATCTCCAGGCCAAGTGTGGGGATGAGACCCTGAGAATTGGGAAAAGAACACGCTGACAGACGAGAGCAGTCAGGGGAAGGAGCTGGGGGAAGAGGTTGGGTCCAGGACCCAAACATAGAAAACTGCAGGGAAGGGACAGAGAGGGAGAAGACCTGAGGCTGAAAAGCAATAGTGGAGGGTGGGGAGTCGCAGGGCTGGAAGCGAGTAGAGAAACCTGGGGCTTTCAGAGAGATGTGGGAGGGGGAGTTGGGGCGGTCAACGAGCAGAGGAAAAGCAGGATCCAGACAGAGTGGATAACAAACAGGGGAACCTGGGGAGTGCACAGACAAAGAGAATGGGGAACCCAGAGACAGAAAAACAGGCAGGAGAGGAATTGGGAGGGAGGGCCAGAGACGGCCGTACGGAACGGGTTGGTGGGGCAGACCTGAGCCCAACGGGAGGAAGCCTGTTGGGAGCGGACACACACCCAGACGGAAGGGAGGTCCGGAGACCGACGGACGGAAAGTCTTGGAGGAGGGTCCAAGGGGACAGAGGGAAGGGCGGGGGAGGGTTCGCGTACTCGGGGACAGGACGAAAGAAATAAACCGCCCTCCCAGCCTCCTTCGGTACGGCCCTGAGGCCCACCCGGCATGCAGTGGGCGACGGAGGCAGGGCTAGGGGCCCTCAGACCCCAAGCCGCCTCCCTGGGGCGCGCACTCCCTACTCCCACCCAACCCCCGCCGTGGCAGGCACCCAACGTGCCGGGAG